ACTTCAGTGAGAATAAGTTCTTAGGGACACGGCAGTTATAACGTTAGATACATATAAACATATTTAAAACCTGGTGGAGATCCTCTTTGCTCTGGAGGGAGGGAAAATGGGTTATGTATATGGGGGATACTTATTTCATGTATCACCATGGTGTTTTAGCGTGTACGTCCTTTTTGTACAATAAAAAAAAACCAGTGTCTTCATTAATGTTAAAGGAAGTGCTAAGTGACCTCATTATCAAGCGTTTTTCATTGGTTAGTATTGTAGTGCTCACCCCCGAAGGAGCCGCCAGAATAACCTGGGTCATCACTAGGTGTCTATGAGTTTTGGTCTTCAGCTGCCCCATTAGCATTTAACCGCCCTCTTCTAGTGCCCACAAAGCTGATTGCCACTCCAGAAGAATAATGCTGAAGAACGGTTATTAACATCTTCTTACTGAGGAGAGGGTATAGGGATCCCAGACATCCAGGGTAGCACAAACATAGACTCCAGACTCACCAGACCTTTTTATAGCATCTCAGTGTAGATCCATTAGTAGCACAGTGGATAGGAATTTGAGTAGCAGATGAACAGGGATGAGCACAGATGCTTAACAGGAGAGAGACACCTGACTTGCTCCTGAGGTCCACTAGATCCCAAGTAGTGATGAGCCGAACACCCACGTGTTCGGTTCTAACTCGAACTTTCGAACATGGAAAAAGTTCTAACTCGAACTTAGAACTCAATGCATGTCTATGGGGGTAGAACTCAGAAATTTAAATGTCCCCATTTTGAAGCCTTATATGCAATTTATTGGCCATAAAAAGTGTATGGGGCCGGATCCCCATACACTTTTTACTGCCCTGGGGGACATGTATCAATGAAAAAAACACTTTTAAAAAATACAATTTTTAAAGGAGCAGTGATTTAACATCACTTAAAATGAAACATTAAAAATTAAAAATGCCTTTAAATATGGTGCCTGGGGGGGTCCCAAAGTACCTCCAGCAACCATCGGCTTTCCTGGTTCTACAGGCCTCCTCTATTCTTGAGGCCTAGTGAAACACTTCCAACACTCCAGCATCCCCACCCCCCAAGCCTCAGACCTAGCCTGGTGGGCAGGCTGGACAGCACTCCAACCTGATCTAATCCATGGCCGGTCCCGAACAAAGCAAATGTCAAATCCCTGTAGTATATGTACCTTATCCCAGCATGCAACACTGGTTGAGAGAAACCCAGTGATTGGCTGGTGAACTGTACATACACTCACACTGCCCCTCATTGGCTGTCCCACACTACAGTAGAGTCACACTCCACCCAGGTAGGTACAATCAATGCCAGGACAACTGGAATTAACCTGATAAATGCCAACTATAATCCAACCAGGCTTACTACAGCTCTGGCAATCATTACATTTCTAGTAGCCACCTCACAAAAGGTGTTGGGGGAGTACAGTAGAAAATAAGGTTTGTAGAGTTTGTTAGACAGGTTTGATTTTCTTCTTTTGTATTGTCATAGGTATGGATGACTGTTATCTCTATCAGGGAAGCAAAACAATGATGCGTTGCCCATGCTGGAGCAAATGCATGTAACTAGAAGGTGGCTAAAAAAGGCTGAAGGAGATCAGCAGCATGTAGATGCATTAAATGATTTAAAAAGTTTAAAAGAGTATTTTATGCCATAATATATGGAAATTATTTATAATCCAAACTACATTAAAATACATGTAACCCTGTTTACTGGTTTCTAGGATTTACCTGATTAAACATTTTTGTAAACGACGTCCTGTATTTTATGATAAGTATAACATTTTGCAGACCTTAAGAGGCATTTAGCAAGCTTCAACATAGTGGCTCATTGTGCTTCTGCCCAGGCCTATTCATTAATGGCAGAGCTGGCTGTAGCTTTAACCAAGTATTAAGCAGGCATCTTAGCAGGCAGTTAGATGGCTTCAACATAGTGGTTCTATATGCTTTTGCATTAGCCTGTGCTTTAATAGTTATATTCGAGACATCACTACCAGGTATAAACAACCCCTGGCTTAGCCTACCATGGAGTTCCATCTGAAGAGCCACAGATTGTCAAAGAAACATTGTTATGATGACTGTTAATTGTACAGGTCATCCGGATCATAATAACACACATTTTCTGCCCTGTATTTTGCTTGTTGTGGAAATAACAGCAAAGTCATATGACAGTCAGTGGAGAGACTCTGTGCGCAGCTGAGACCCAGAGAGCTGAGCTATGATGCAAACACTCCCTGAGGAAGTCACTGACTATACAGAGTCTATACCATTATATGCAACTCAGGAGAAGTAAATGGGAGAAATTCTACAAATGTGAGGGTAAAAGATATCTTACCAAGAGACACCTCTGTTATTCCTGGGCTTTATGTTCCTCAATAACCTATTTCACTAAGGTACATCCAGGCCGAGGGACAGTTATTATCCCACAGTTATAAGATTTGTGGGGGAGCGGTGACTGTATTTTCTCACTTTGCTTATACATTTTTAAGGTATATCGGAGTATAACAAGAAAAAAATATATAATATATTACAGCTTATGATTCTTAGATGTGATGCATTTGTTTTTTCAGACTAAGTAGATTTTCTGTAAGTACAAAAAAATACCAGTTCATCCTACCAGAAATCCAGTGTCCTTATAACTTCCTGTGTACTGAACTGAAATCTCAAATAATGTAATCAACGTAGCCAGTAGCAGGACATTCTAATAAAAAACTGTGGGGGGAATTTATCAAGACTGGAGCAGGCAGAATCTGGAGCAGTTGCCCAAAACAACCAATATGTTTCTCTCTTCAGTTTGCTCAGTTAAGATTTGAAAATGAAAGAGAGACGCCGATTGGTTGCCATGCGCAGCTGCTCCAATTTTTGTCTACTCCAGTTTTGATAAATTCCCCCCTATTTGTTCTCTGTGATGCCTTCTTCCAATTGACAGCTAATAATCACAGTCAAAAATCTTCATAACAGACGGCACAATTTGTCAAGCCATCGCCTTTGTATGAGATAGTTTGGTTACCCGTAGCATATCAAGGTGGCCCCTGGGAGCAGATGTGCATTTTGTCTCCTGCTATGGCTTTGTTCAGGATTATAGATATAAGACATGAACCTTAAAACATGACAAAGGGAACAAAAACATGGCTGTTCAATGCAAAACCAGATGGGTGGCATCCATAGCCCTTATTGAAACAAACATAATATCATTCAAATATGCAGCACAGGTGGGAGAGAGGTCTGTGCTCCAAAATAGAAAGTAAGGACACAGACTGGTAAGGTTTAAGAGTTTACTAAATTCCAGCCTTCTGTATGTATAATCCAACCGGATAATTCGTTAAAGCTTATTGTCAAACAAAAGCACAAGATGAAATATTGTATTCACCTTCTCAATAGTCCCCTATAATAATCTCAACTACATAAGATATGAACCAAAGAACCTATATTTTCTAAATCTAAGCAAACAAGACAGAAGGCCTCACTCCAGAATACTATCCTGTAGCAAAACTTTATTGAACTCCTCCCTCTGACACCTTTTACTCACTTAAACCTCAAATGAGTAACCTCTAAGTAAAATGTGTCAGCGGGAAGAACCTAAGTGGGCTTCTATGGACACTTTGTTTAATTAAGTTTTACCGAGGCATAGTATTCTGAAGTGAGATCTTCATTCTTGTTTGTATGGAGTGGCATGTTTAGCTGGGGGAGCTGAAGTAAGAGGCAACACCTGGAGCAGGGCAATCACATGGGCTCTATGACTTAAAGTGACATTAAACCCTCAGATTTTTTAACATAAAACAATACTGTAATGTGTGCCTTACTGTAATCCATGGTTGTTTCCCTTCTCTTTGCTGCTCTTCCTTTTAAATCTGTATCTGTTCTCATGCTCTGCAGAACTTCTGTTTTGCAGCAGACTTCCTTGTCTCAGGAATGGATACACGGTGTCTGTGTATCCGTTTGTATAGGCTTGTAATCTGAGCCAGCACTACAGGAAGAGGCCCTGAGCTGAAAAGGGAAGTTCTCCCCAAGCATGAGAAGACATGAGGATTTAAAAGGAAGAGCAGCAAAGAGAAGGAAAACAACCATGGATTACAGTAAGGCACACATTACAGTATTGGTTTATGTTAAAAAATCTGAGGGTTTAATGTCACGTTAACTATATGCTCCAAGCTTAAACCATAATCATCAAGAACCAAAGTTTGAGCAAGAACTAGGAACTTGAGGCAAAAGTATGAAAATGATGTCACTACCTTAATATTTGGGTTGTCCTTGGTAACATGTCACTGTGTTATAGCCACACAACAATATTCCAACAAAAGTCCTTAAAGGAGAACTATGAGGTGCGCGCTTTTCACTCACCTCATAGTTCTAGCCGACCTGTGACAATGAGACTGTCACAGGTTGGCTTAGTAGATCGGGAAGTGAGCGAACACATACCAGCATTCGCTGTCCTCTCTATCCTGTCACGGCTCTCTGCCGTGACAGGGGAAGGGCTGGATTCCCCCCTCCCTGCTCCGATCCGCCAGCGCTGACTAGCGGATCGGACGGGGGAGGGGGCGGGTACAGCTGGCTCTGCCTCTAGATAGGCAGAGACAGCTGTCACTCACGCAGCTGGGCGGATCCAGACATAATTGTTGGGATCTGCTTCAGCTGCGGCGTCTCAGTATACCGCGAGCAGTAGCTCGCGTTATAGTGTGGCGTCTCAGTATACCGCGAGCTGCAGCTCGCGGTATACTGAGCTTGGGGTGACGGGAGGATGCTAGTTTGTGTCCTCCCGTTACCCTAAGGAGAACTATGGGGAAAAGCCTCAACCCCATAGTTCTCCTTTAATATATAACTTCAAATATAACAAAATTCCTTAATGTATTATCGAACCATAAACTCATGAAGTACTTGCTTGCTGTATTTTCCATTGTCTTTGCTGATTTATTATGGTAGACCTCATGTGTAACAATTCCTTTGTGACAAGAAAAAGGGAACTTGGTTATATCTTGCAGGCAAGACCCTACTCACCTCAGTGTCTTTTTCCAATTCCAGTCCAGCTTCTATAAGATTACGTTCAAACTCCTCCCGTTGACACCTCTTCTCTTCTTCTAGGGCATCCTGGTGGCTCATCTCTACCACCACTACCTCGTGTGGATGACATGATGAATTACCATTCCTAGCAGGTTGATGGTCCTGGTTCTGTTGTTTTTGTTTATCATGTCCTTCAGGCTTCTGTTGCTGATTATGTAATTCCCCAGGAAGAGGCTGTTCCGGAGGTGTCTTCCCTATTTCTTCTGGAGTCACTGAATTCCCATTGGAAACAATAACTGCTGGAGGCCGGTGGTTGGTGGGGGATCCATTGTGTTGAGTTGACCGATGTCGGTAATGGTAGATAAGGACATAGTCGACTTTCCTTTTGCCATCACCAAAATGCATGCCACTTGAAGTAATCTCCTGATTTCCATCCACATAATTGTTAACAACCTGCAAAGAAAAAAAGAAAAAAAATAATGAGTAAAGCCTCTCGGGAGCAGAATACACAAACAGAAAGTGATCCAGAATATTACCTGGGTGACTAAAAAGAAGCCAATAAACAAACAGAACCCAAACCACATTTTACATTCCTAATAACACTATGGCCATGGGACAAAAACTCAAAAACTATGAGTGTGCCCAAGTAAAATAAGAACAGGAAAGCATACCAATAGTAGAAGAGAAGTGTGTAGAAAGGCTAATATATAAATCACCTCTAACCTAAAGGAAAACTATAATGGCCTTTGATCAATTTTAATTTATTTTTGCCAATTCATGTTTATAAATGTTTTTGTCCACTATTTGTATTATTTTACAAATATCATTTCGCAGATTTGTTATTTTACAAATAATGTATCCTGGGTGTCTTCATCATGTTACATTTTCAGAGCTTGGTGTTCTAATAATAAAAAAAAAACAGCACTTTCTACATGCTTTTGGCGATATTTGCAGGCTAAACATTTATCCCCTCTATGACTGAGTTTTTTTTCAGTTTCTGTTCGTAAATGTCTGACACACTTTTTAAATTTTTGCTGTGTGATTCTTCCACGGCAGTAATATACTTTCTTTCTAAATATATTTTTTACACTTTTTTTTTTGTCAATTATATCAAGCAGTCACTATGGCTGCTTAATCATTTAATTAACTTTTTTTAATTTTTGGTTATTATTAGGCTGCTCCAAACTTAGGAAAAGCTAATAATAACCTAAGGAGACTGATCCTGACAGCATGTCAGAATCAGATCTCAAGAAATGTTTCTGATCGTGCCTAGACGATCAGAAGTGATACATTTCAGGCACAGAGATACATTGTAACATTGTTCCTGAAATGTATCACACAACTTTGAAAACATCCCAGCTGTCAAGACAAATAGCAGGGAGGTGACTCTGCTACCTCTCTGCTATTTTAGCTGTCAAATTCCAGATCGCTATTTAGCGATCATAGTGATCCGGTATTTGTATGTAACGGCTTCATTCTTTCATTTATGAAAGCAAGAAGCTTTTACAAAAGCTTAACTATTTAATTAATTAATGTCCCAACAGCATTACAGAGCCGCAAATAACTGGTCACGTACAGTGTCATTTGGGCACTTTGTGGCGGGACGTACAGTATACGTCTCCCATCACAAAGGGGTTAAACAGGTCCAGTCTTCCCTAGGCGAGAAAGGGGTGTGTCCCTTACCTGAATTATTCAGCACTCAGTATGTAATGGTATTTTATAATGCTGTTGGGGACCAGGAAACCTCCAGGTGGCACCTTGGAGCTGGAGCAGATCCTACAGTTCCAGTGCTCACCTGCAGGTGTCTCTGGGCAGCCAGTGGCTGTCTGGGACTTGAGCACCTCCAGGTGGCACTGTGACGCTGGAACCAGGACCTGCAGCTCCAGGGCTCACCTGCAGGTGGCCCTGCAATTAATCCCCACCTGGGGTTACCTGGGAGGGTATTTAATTCCTCCCTGAACTGGGGATTTTGCCACAGTATTGTGGCCCTAACCTGAGTACTGAGTCCGGAGTCCTGAGGCCTGTTGCCTCTTTGGACCCTGACTCCTTCCGCCCTGAGGTCTCTGTGGCTCCACTCCTGTGGCCTTGCTCCCCTGGTTGGCTTGCCCTGTAGTACTCTGTGTCTTTTAGTTTGGCTAATTTATGTTGCTTGTGGGTGTTGGTGGGGATGTTGGCGTTTATATGATTTTGTATGTCTATTAAAGTTCATAGCCTTGTCAGGTGTGGTCGAGTATTTGGTCCTCCCGTATAGATACATGCACACGGTGTGGGGCACCTGTGCACAGTATCCTGACAACTGCTCAACTAAACAACATAAGCTATTCATCAGATATGTTATGTTATTCATAACATAAGGCTAATAGAGTTGCCCAAAACTGATCTTCCAAGTACACTTTGTTTCCTTTCTTTGTAGTGTGCTTTCTGAATGTTGTTCTTCATAGTTGGTGTTTGGGCAGTTTTATACATTATAGTTATAGCATTTTACATATACAAGCTTTCTTCATCAAAAAGGGCAGCAGAATATAATTTGTATATTCTGGGGGTTTATAAGTTGTAGTCAACTATACTTGTAGTTTTTGTATCCATATCTACTCGTTTACAGCAGAGTTTCATTAGACCCCATTCACACTGAGCTACAATTTTTCAGCGCTGATTTAAGCTGATCGACTTTGAGCGACATCAAGTCTATTGGGGTTAAATCACTCGAAATCCCCTGAAAAAAACAAGTTTCAGCTACAGGCGACATTGAGCTGCAAGATGTGAACATCTCCATTGAAATGCATTGGAAGAGCTACATTGAGCTTCATGCCTATGTCTATTGGGCACTTTCTTTGTTTCCATGTAAAGTTCCTCTCTGGGATAGAGTTTGATCTTCTTGGGTTACTCAGAGTTTAGTTGATTTTTGCTGACCTATTTCTTTCTGACTATAAATGTAGTACCTCCTTGATGACCTGTTCTGATACAATGTTCTTGGCTTTTTCTAAAGACTGTTTTAAGACTCCATTACAGCCTTTACGTATATTCTGGAACATGATCAGGTTCATCTGGGCAGTAGGAAACACTGGATGGGACATCGTTTTACATAAAGTAAACCAGAATTGAAAACAGTTAAAATTTGCTTTGTTATAGGGAATATCGAATGAGACATTATCACAATACAATTTATGGTGAGAAGGAACTAATGCAATTAAAAAAGCCCCCCAACTGAATAAGGGTGAAGCACAGTAAAACCTTTGTAGAACAGAAAGTATTCAGATGTTTCATCCCATTATTTACAGTATGTCAAAAATAAGAGCATTATTCCTTATTTTAGGACAGTGGGCAGAGCCATACAAATCATTGCTTTATGACCCTTCAGCCAGATGCACACCTAGAATTGTTGGTGTATAGTGCAAAAAATAGCCTAATATTATAGCGCCATTTATTCCAAACTGCATACAGCTGTTTCAGGCTTGTTGGCTATCAAATTCTCTTCTGCAGACTGAAGACTATTTTTTTCTTTTGTCTAATATCATCTAATATTCGTCCAGAAATGAAAATTCGTACAGATTACTGCAAACAAATTTCTTCCAAATCCGAATCCCGAAACGAATGGACTTTTGGACCCGAATCTCGGAAAACGCAATAACGAAAAATCTGGATGTAAACTAAATGAAACTAAACAATGGATGGTTGATTGAGATTTTTTTTTACCTTTTTATCACTTTTTTTATAATTTTTATTTATTTTTCTTTACTTTTTTACATTTTATTTATCTTATTATCTTGTACTTTTTTCATAATTTTTAAAACTTTTGTATCACTTTTTTATTTGAATTATTATTTCTTACTTTTAAAAAAAAATTATTTAACTTTTTTTACTTATCAGTTTTTATTTTTTTTCACTTAACGTTTTTGCTATCACACAGGAGCTAACAAGCCACTGTGGGATAGTATTTGGAGGTGACAGTTCCTCTTTATTGAACCTGTCACCTCCAATACAGGAGTTCTAGCACAGCACTGTGCTGGCTCTCCTGTGACAGCTGAGATGGGAAGGCTGTGAGTGCTGCTCTCCCATCTCAATGTTTACATGGAGCAGAGCGGAGAATGGACTTTCTCCGTCCGGTTACCCGCTCTCCATCCTAAACTACTTTCCCGTAGTCCCAGGTCCGCCAGAAGAGCGCAGGGAACACCGAAACCCACGGCTGGGGAGGCGGCCAGTAGGGGCGGACCATGGGGGGGGAACCTGCAGGCGTATTACAAGTGATTTCGGCAGCATTGCCGGGATCACTTGTACAAAACAAGTGGGGGCTTTACCGCTCTACGTTTAATCCTACTTGCCTGAAGCAGGGCTAAATGTAGAAAAAAATACCCGCTCGGTGGCTGTGCCGCCCCTCTACTCCCTGCTGCCTCAAGGCCAGGCCTCAGTGGCCCTGTGGAAAATTCGGCCCTGACTGAATCAGTGCATAGCACAATAAAACCTTATTTATATAGAAGGTATTAGTATGTCTTAAACCATCACATATCCCAAAAATGGACAATAGACTGAGCCATACAAACCATTGCTTTATACCACATCAGCCAGATGCACATGCAGATGCACATGCAGAACCACTGGTGTATAGCGCATATTAAGCCTAATATTATAGCGTAATTTATTCTAAACTGCATACAGCTGTTTCAATTTTTTTTTGGTCATAAGTGCAGTGTATGAAAACCATGGCTTCTATGGAGTAGGGTTTGGGACCTGAAGAGACAATATAACCATACAGGTTATGGTGAGAAGGGACTAAAGCATTCAAAAAGCCCTTCAGTGCATAATCTGTATGGTTATATTGTACTGATGGGTCACAAGCCTTACTCTGTAGAAGCCATGGCTTCCATACACTGCACTAATGATGGCCAAAAAGCCTGAAACAGCTGTATGCAGTGTGTAATGAATGGCTGCACAATATTAGGCTATATTTACACCAGCGGATCTGGTCCTGCATCTGGCTTAGCCTACTGTCCTGATATTAAGAATAATCCTCTTATTTTATACATATTGACTAGAATTTCTCCTGGAAAATAGCAGTGCACCTACTGGTATGTGAGAGCTACAAACTGGTTATGGGTTAGAATAGGTCACTTTGATTTGCACATGCTCACTGCCAATCACTAAAATCTCATATAAACTTTAACATGTTAAAGAGGACCTCCAGGATTTTCAAAAGTTAACCCTTGCAGTAGGGCTACCTCCACAATCAAGTTGTTTTCATTTTTTTTTTCAATCTGCAGCTTTCATTAAAGGATATCTGCCATAAGGGCCTTGTTAAGGCACTTCCTGCTATGGGGTGAAAACTGCTTACCAAATGTGCTCCAACATTGTCGCCCCCTAAAAAGAGACTATGAGTGGCCATGCTGACACATATTGTGCCGGCATGGTCC